AGCAGCATTTTTGTGGAGCAGCATTTTTGTGCAACTCAGTGCCTAAATGCACTGAGTTGCCGCCATGTGATTGGCTGATTAGAAATTAAGTGTTAACGAGCAGTTGGACAGGTGTACCTAATAAAGTGGCCGGTGAGTGTATATTCCAATAAAGCTTATATTTAAAGGGGTCAAAGAGCTTGGATACAGCATATCTGTAAAAACAGTATGACAACATTTAATTTCTGATGTCTTAAAAGGACTGAGGGGGATTTATTTCTTTATGTTTTCTGGCTTGAATTCCCACACTGAATGCAAAGTTACTGTTTTACTTTTATTAATTCTTACTTTAATCAACTGAGATGCAACATCTGTTCTTCCAGTTTAACTTTCATGTTATTTGGTTGAGGGTGCTGCAAGATATTTGGGACTGTTTCACTGAATTTTACATTTTAAACTTTGTGATTGACTGTGACATTTACTTTAAACTGAGAATCTACAAGTCTCTATCTTAAGACGTGCCTTGCTCCAACAGTATAAACACAATATTTTGCATTTTAGAAGTGTTTACTTCCTTGTTTACCGTGACATCATACAGTATATGGGGTGGGACTTGACTCTGGTATAAAGCTATGGGGCACGTGTCGTACGTGTGCCAAGGTGGAGATTCAGGAAATGCACCAGATCTGAGTTGGGTGTAGTAAACTTTACATGTCTGTAAATAAATATTCAAGTCTGAGAACTGAATCGATCTCCTGCATAGTTTGGCCTCTCGTTTTAACATGATCTTTCAGCACATTCAGAACTTAAAATGTTAAGATTAGTTTGACAAAAATCAAAGATCTGTCCAACTGTTTAAAAGATAACCTTTTTGTTTAGTGTAAATACTGTATATAATGTATATCTGTAGGCTTTTACATTCATGTCACCTCTGAAGCTGGACTGATGCACCTCAGCATGATGATGTGGGACAATGAGGCAGAACGAGGAGTCTAAATCGATCACCTGGCGACACATCAGTGACATCCCACAAAGCTCATGATTTCAGCCTACAGCTGCAACAAGGACCCTCACCTCTGCACATGATAGCCCCCTACACAGTCAAACTCAACACCCTTGTTTTTGCTGCATTTCAGAGCTACATTCGACAAGATTTGGGATTTTTAGGTCATCTTAATTATTAACGAACGGGGCCAAAACATCTTCCTTTCACATGCTGTTAGGAGCTGATGTTTGGTTCTCTAAAGTGCACAGCATAGTCTGTGTTTGGCTGCTTGGAGCGTGGCCATCGCTTCGTCCTTTTTGAGCTATAAAACATGGAGCAGACATCTCATAAGTAGAGGAGCAAGGAGAGGTTTAGAGGGAGAAAAAGTGTCTTAAAGGACACTTCTTTATTTTTGGTTTTTATGATCAGAAATCACAAATTACTGTCCAGGACCATGCATGGAAAATACAACAGCAAACCGACTTTTAGCTTTTTAATCATAGAGGACTACATGAACTAAATATTTTATTGCTTATGAGTGCCCATCCACCACCATGTCTCAGTGGCATCCTGCAGATTTACATCTCACCTCCTTTTTTTTTTATAGCTCAGGAAAGATAACGCAGCTCACTAATCTGTGGACCTCCTAAGGTTCACAAAACAAGTGATTTTATTTTTGTTTGGATGACGTTTCTCCTCTAAACAGATCCGGACGCAAAGATCTGGAGATAAATTCACAAGTCTTGGAGTAAGCTGTCCCGCTTTCCGTCGTGACACATTTTAATGTAAACGTGAAGCAACATGGGGCGGACTGAGGGTAGTGTGGCTTATTGCGAAACGTGGGACACTAAAAAATAAATAAATCTGTAATCAGAAAAGACAATTAAGTTGAATGTTTTCATCGCCTCAGAATTTGGTTGACAGAGCTAACACCTTGGCTTCATTTTCACAGATAACTGTCGGGTGCTGCTACTCCCCAGTTCAACCTGTCACTTTCTGTTTAATCTAATAACACAGAAAGGCCAAAGGGCGACACAATGGGATGTAAAGGTTCCCATCAGAAAGTGGGAACTTTTACCAATCAAATGATGTCTAATGCATTTTTTTAACTAAGAGAGGTAATTTACTGCAAGAAATACTTCTCCCCTATATTCAGCATGTTCAGGATGAGAGATTTATCAGTGCTTTGTGAATGATGATAAAAATTGATTCTCATCCCCACAACCAAAAAAATAACAAAAATAAAAATTTAATTCAAACCTGTTTAATCTCTTAACAAAGTCTATAATTGCTTGCTTGCTCGTGCCTGTGCATTTCAAGCTTTTTTTGTGCTTTTAGTCATTTCAGTTCTGTTGAACAGCATCTGTGTCGTTAATGCTGAACAAGTTCTGGCTTAAAACTGCAGCTTGGTGATGATTCACCACGGATTACAATGATCTCTGACAAAAAGTCTGCAGCTTGGCGTGCATCTAGAAATCATATGTTTCAGCTTTACAAAAGCACCTCTATACCATCAGGTCCATAAATGTCTGAGGCTTCATGTGCTCTTATGTAATCAGTTTAATGATCACCTGCTGCTGTCTTCTCCCTCTTCTTGCACTGCAGGGATCTCAGAAGTGATGATGATGCTTTGAAATAAAACCCTTCTGAAAATGACCACTAATTGCATAAATAAGATCTGCACTCTGAAAAAGCAGTCCAATAACTTTTTTTTTAACTAAAGGTCTGTGTAACTAATTGCTTATTCCTTATTAATTTAATTAGTTTTATGCTGTAAAAAAAATAACAGTTTATAAGTCAAGACTAAGCTGTTTGCATCTGGTGTGTCTCAATAATCCTTACCGTTCGACCGCCTGACAATATTTTCCAAAAAAGTGTTCTGGGGGGCCACGAGTCCCCTCCGACCCCCCGCCATGCTGCCGCTTCGCTCAGTCCTCTGCGGATGAAGGTTTACTCCTCGGTTTGCTCTTCATGGTGTCCGCTGCTGCGACAGGCAGAGAGGGTTCGGTGGACAGAGGCTGTCGGTCTGCTCCGCTCATCATCTGCCTCCTCCTCAGCCCGGTGCAGCGGCGGCGGCGGCGGCGGCTCACGCACCTCATCATCCAGGAGAGGAAAACAACACCGGGGCTCCACCGCACAGACAGGAGGGGCAGCTGGGGTGCTCCTCGCTGACCGGGGCTGGAGCGCCCCCTGCTGGACGCCGCGGTGGCTTTTTGGTGCTGAAAGTCATGGAAGAGTGACTGCGGGCTGGAAAATAAATAAATAAATAAATAAATAAATAAATAAATAAATTAATCACACCTTAAGTTTGAAAATAACGAAGAAGAAAAAAAAAGATTTTAAAAAAGTCTATGTTTGCCTTTATTGTTGTGCCAACATATGCCCATCAGTAAATTGTGAAAATATTTAAAACCTGCACATCCTCACTAAAATATTCTGAATATGTGAGTCTATTCAGTGTAAACATATTATTGTATTGGGAGGAAAGGTTCGCTGATGTTGTCCATGGTGCACTGTAGATCAGACTGGGCCAGACCAGTTCTGTTATGTGGGCAGATATTGGGTTCGTGCAGTTTTGCTAATAACTTTGTTAAACATGAGCATAATAACAATAAAGGTAAACCTGATAACTATTTTACTGCTGTTACTCATTTATTGCTAGTGTATACACTCACCGGCCACTTTATTAGGTACACCTGTCCAACTGCTCGTTAACACTTAATTTCTAATCAATCACATGGCGGCAACTCAGTGCATTTAGGCATGTAGACATGGTCAAGACAATCTCCTGCAGTTCAAACCGAGCATCAGTATGGGGAAGAAAGGTGATTTGAGTGCCTTTGAACGTGGCATGGTTGTTGGTGCCAGAAGGGCTGGTCTGAGTATTTCAGAAACTGCTGATCTACTGGGATTTTCACGCACAACCATCTCTAGGGTTTACAGAGAATGGTCCGAAAAAGAAAAAACATCCAGTGAGCGGCAGTCCTGTGGGCGGAAATGCCTTGTTGATGCCAGAGGTCAGAGGAGAATGGGCAGACTGGTTCGAGCTGATAGAAAGGCAACAGTGACTCAAATAACTACCCGTTACAACCAAGGTAGGCAGAAGAGCATCTCTGAACGCACAGTACGTCGAACTTTGAGGCAGATGGGCTTCAGCAGCAGAAGACCACACCGRGTGCCACTCCTTTCAGCTAAGAACAGGAAACTGAGGCTACAATTTGCACAAGCTCATCAAAATTTGGGATGTGGTGGAACGGGAGATTCGCATCATGGATGTGCAGCCGACAAATCTGCGGCAACTGTGTGATGCCATCATGTCAATATGGACCAAAATCTCTGAGGAATGCTTCCAGCACCTTGTTGAATCTATGCCACGAAGAATTGAGGCAGTTCTGAAGGCAAAAGGGGGTCCAACCCGTTACTAGCGTGGTGTACCTAATAAAGTGGCCGGTGAGTGTATTTTTCAATTATTATGGTAAAAATATTTCATCAACAATTTATTTGCATTTAAAGTGATGTCTGGAAATCATCTGGGGACCCTAACTTGATATTTCATGACCCATAGAGGGGCCCCGACCCCAATTTTGGGAACAACTGGTGTAGATCCACAAACAAGAACATGTAAGAACATGATTAGTTGCAATGTGAAGAACTTACCAGCTGATCCAAACCATTTTATGATCAGTCATAGACTTCACCAAGATCATCAAGATTTCTTTGGTGGAAGTGGCGTTTAAAAAAAATAAGATCTAGTATGGAGTCATGGTCTGATGACATTTTAATTCAAAACATAATGTGGAGTTACACCATGGACAACTTACTGGATTGTGGATTGACGACAATTTAGAGGACAAACATTTCTGTTATTCAGATGTTGCGCAGTCAAGTTTTTAACAGAAGGGGCACGTGTGAACTTAACCTTTGATGCCATCCATCCATCCATCCATCCATCCATCCATCCATCCATCCATCCATTCCTTTCGGAGTCATAGGGGGCCACTGGTGCTCACGTCACAGTGCGAGGGGCGGTGTACACCCTGGACAGACTGCAAGTCCATCACAGGGACACATAGAGACAACTATTCACTCTCTCACTCCCACCTAAGGACAATTTAGCATTTCCAATTAGTTCAACGGTTATGTTTTTTGTCTGTAGGAGAGTACCCAGAGAAGTCATGCACACACAGAGAGAGCATGTAAACTCTACACAGAAAGGTCCCAGACCAGGATTCAATCTGGCAACCTTCTTGCTGAGAGGCTACAGATTTAGCAACTGTGCCACCAAGCAGCCTGACCTTTGACCACATGACCTCGAAATCAATCAATCGTTGACCCATCATCTATAACAGCTCTTTAGAAAAACCAGGATAAGGTGAGTTACAAAAACATTTACTTTCCCTTTGTGATTATTCAAGTTTTTATTGAACTGAATCAAGTTTTGTCATAACCTGAGTGTTTTCTAATTATATTCTATGGTTCTTTGTGCTACTTAGATTATCTTTGTGTTTAGTTTCTGTTTCCTCTATCAGTCAGTCATTCTCACCCGTCAGTTGTTTGCAATCAGCCCTGCTCCCATAAATTTCTCTCCTTTTTTATTCCAGGTCCATTTTTTTCTTTTTCTGAATTGTAGTCTTGCAAACATAACACTCATCTCTTGTCATGCTCTGCCTCCGTGTTTCTGAGATAGGGTTTATTCTTCTTGTTTTGATGTTTTGTTGTTTATGTTTTATTATGTCTTTCCGCCATTATACATTGTTGATGATTGTGCAGCACCTTGTGATTCTGTGAAAGGCACTTTCTAAGTAGAACTTTACTTACTTGCTGCTCCCAGGTGTTTCCCATTTTCTCTCTCCCTCAGTTTGTATTTAACCGGTCTTTTGTCACCACTTCTCAGCTGGATCATGGGTCACTTGGTCTTCAGGGTCTCATGTGAGTCCCTGAGTTCTGCAAGTTTTGCTGCCTCGTCAGCCTTTTTTTTTTAAAATCTAATAAATCTTTTTGAGTTCCTCATATCCGCATGCTCCTAGGTTCATTCACCCTCCAGACCCTTGATAAGTTCAGGGGAAGACTCGAACAAGAAGATGTCCAATGACAGACGATGGTATAACAGTCTCATCTTAGAATAGGTGCTAAAAAATACAGTTGTAAATGAATGGGATGATTTTCACCCTGTGGTAAAGAAATTATCTTCTAAACAGAGGACCAGGATCAATCCCCTGCAATGTGTTGAGGTGCCCTTGGGCAAGACACTGAACTGCTCTGGATATGCTTGAGCCAGCTTTAGATGACGTTTCTAATGAGGTCTGATAACTGAAAACTTTAGGAACTGTTTAAAATTAAGATGAAGGTAAAACACAAAGATCTGAAAAATGTAAAAAAAAAAAAAAAACATCATAGAAAGTGGCAAGCAACCACAAAGAAACATTATATTTAAGATTACAAATAATTAAAGACAACATTTAATGAATTATGCATTTACATTAAAACAATGACTTGGCACCAACCTTCCCAAAGGTGTTAACAAATAACTGCTGGGAGAAGTTCCTTCTCGCTTTTATGCTTCTCGTGGTTTGACTTCTCAAAACATGAATATGTAAAAGTTTTTTTTTCTTCTTTGATCCCAGCAGGACATTTGTCCATTTTTAAAGGCAACATTTACCAAAGCAGCTCATTAATCTTGTTCAAGTTAACTGTAACATCTGAAGCCCGAGCTGAAACAGAGGTTTTAAAAAAAAAGGATCTTTGATGAAAATATTTCTGTCTAAATTGACAGTGCCCCAATTTTTTAAGTACAAAGAAATGTCATGAAAGCTATCCTGAACACCTGGGAGAGCAGAGGTCTAAATCAGACTGGAAGGCTACTATGGAAACAGCAGGGGGGCGTTTTGTGCAGAAGCACTGAATATGAAATGCTAAACCAATTAAAAAGGTGAATCGGTTGCTGTTTGGATTTCACTTTAAAGCAGAAACTGTTAACTAAAATACTTCATGCCTGTTGTCTCTTATCTTTTATTATTTACACATCACGAAGCAGATGTGGTCTTTGTATCCGCTACACAAATAAAGATCACTCAGGTAGCTGCAGGTGTCTATATAAGGAAAGCGGACAGCGTTTGCCTTGTTTGGTGTAGTAAAACTTCCCTAAATGGTCATAAGTGGGTCCTTTTTTTCATAGAGCTGTTTCCTTTTAAAAGTACTGATAACCTTTATCAGCCGAGTCAATAACGCAGTATCCATCATAAAGTGTTGATAATACACATCTTGTCACACAACTCCAAAGTGGAAAAGGCTGATGTCAATCTGAAAGTCTGCTTTGCTAATAATGTTTTAAATGAAGACAAACAGATTTAACAGACTGTTGGGCAGTTTTGTTTTTAATCTAAAGACAAGTCTTGTGGAGTAAATTCAGTTTTAGTTACACAGACTCATAAAAGAGCAACATTTTATCTGGTCAGAAGACTTTAAACAGTCTTTTCAGGTTATATAGCATGTCCTGCTTAACAACAAAACAGCTACATTAAAAAGGACAATCTATGCTTCTTCGTTTTAATTTGTCCACCTTTTGGTGACCAGCAGGTGACTCAGGTGATCTTTCATGTACTTGTGCGCAGGGAAATTTTGTAACTTTGACTCCTTGATTTGAAGCCAGTTTTGGGCTCTGCGCTCTGCTGCGTGGCCGAGTTCCTGCTCTTTAGTCATGTACGGCCGGCTGAGCCAGTATTCGTTGGCGGCCTCGCGCTCCAGGTGCTTCAGAATGTTTTTCTTCATCTGAATCGAGACATGCCGGGGTCGCTGATGCTTTCCGGTCCACTGCTTCCCAGGAATGCCTTTCCGCAGGAGAGCGCGTGTGAAGAACATGGTGGCAAATCAAACCTGGAACTGAAAAAGAATAAAAAAAATTAAGTTGAGACTGTTACAAAGACGACTCTTTGGTTCAAACAGACACAACGAGAACCGAGCGTCACAAAAACAACTGAAAAATATTACTGAGCTTATGAATAAATTAACATTAAAATGTTATTTTGACACAAAAGTAATGAGCCTTTCAGCTCAAAATGATTAATATGCTGCTAAATATAATATGAAGACAGCAACCGTTTATAATGGAAGTGATGCTGACTAGAAAACGGCAACAGTAAACACTCATTTGTAACCAAAATTCACTAAAATGAAAGGCCAGACTGGCAGTTTGGAGGAATAATCATGAAAATAAACCTCAAGACTTAAAAGTAAATTAAATTAGTGTATTTGTTTTTTCCAGGCTCCTCTGAATAACTGCAGTCCAACAACATTAATATCCCTATAGTCCTATTTTGGGACTGTGCAGTTTAATAAATAAGGATATAAAAAACATTTATTCAATGAGAATGGAACCCACTCACAACCCTTACAGTTTTACTGCCTATATTATAAAGGCAACACAATAACAAGTCCATAATGATAATCCAATCCAATGACTCACCCTAAGTACACGACATGTCCTGAGTTCTGCTACAACACAATACTAGGCAATAAATTTCAATTGTGTAGCTAAGTGATGCAATTCTCACAAACCAGGTGTTAATCAAATATTTTTGCTTTACTAAGATGTTTCATGTTGTTATGAAGAACAAAATAGAACCAATTCAAACAAAACACTGAGAAAAGATGAATCTTTGACTGTGCCTCTAAATTGTCATGTAGACAGCTGTTGAGATTTTCGTTTGAGTTAAAAAAAATGTTTTTATAAGCATTCAACTTTTTAATGATTTTTTCACTCTTTATTATTACAAAAATGGTGGACAAAATGAAATGAGAAATTGTCTTTTGTCTGAACTTCCCGTACACATTCATCTGTGTGCGTCTGTGGGGGGTGGGCGCATGCGTCTGAAACTACAGTAATTGGTGAGTTTATTTTGTTTATTTGGCAGCTGCCCTGGTGCTTTTTCCTGAACGTGACTGTGAGGTGAAGCTAACTAAACATGAGTGAGCGGACTTTTAAACGGTTAAATCTTGTTGAAACGTTTAACGAAAGAGTAGAAATAAAGTGCCATCGCTTTGCCTCGTCCTCTGGATGTAACTGACAGCACCTGAGCCAGGAAATCTCTCCTCCTGCAGACAAAGGCTGTGTCCAAAACGGCAGGCCGGGTCCTCCGAAGGCCGAATTCGTCGGCCGCATACGTCACAGCGCCGCAACGAAGGACGTCCAAAACCGAAGACTCCTCCGATGCGGCCGACAAATACGTCCTTCCTTTTCCTCGATTTTAAGGACAGGTCCGATGGATCCTTCCCGGCCCAGCATATCCCATAATGCATTGCGGCCCGACCGGAGTTTTTTTTAAGCTAGTAATGGCGGATGAAGTGAAAGAAAAGAATAAGTTTTAAATAAAAATATGGCGATATAAAAATTAAAATGTTTTAGTGGTTGTAATTATAAAACTTTTATCATTTGTATAAACATTTTTAAATATTGTTTTTGTCATAAAAAACGCAAAATAAACATGCACCTACAGCACATTAGTTCTTCAAATGTTACCTTTAAGTTAATTTTATTGTTTTGTGATATTAATAATGCTAATATATTGATATTTTTCTAATTTTGATCTATTTTTGCTTCTGTTTAGCGTCGTCACGGTTGCTATGTGACATGACGTAGGCCGGGGTGGAGGGGAGACTAGACTGTCCAAATTCACAGACTCTTTTTTTTTTCCGGTCTTCCCGGTCTACCAAGGACCCGGCCCACCTCGACCGGGTAGTCTGGGTCCTCCGGAGGACCCGGCCTGTCGTTTTGGACACAGCGAAAGCTTCTCTCTGCCTTCACCTCCACAGCTACACCTCTCCCCCAGGAGCCCAGCAGCTCTCAGCCACAGGTAACTGTAACCACCTGGTTTCAGTCAGACGCTCATCTCTTTTGAGTTTGAGCAAAATGTGTTCTGAGCTGATGGTTTCTTGTCGCTCCAAGTCTTCCCCTTCAATAAGAAAGTCTTTTTCCCTTCAAAAAAGAAAAAAAAAGAGGAAAAATAACTGATTATCACCTTTCACTGACCTCACCTTTTTCTCAGTCTCTGTTTTGCTGCATTTTGACAGTTTCCACTACAGTTTGCATAAATCAGATCCATATTCTGGCTCTATTTTTATTTAATAATTGTTTTAACGCAATGGCCGCAGCACATTGTGATTGTTGCATTGTGATACTGCTCTGCCTACCTTCCTCTCTCTTCTTCCTGCAAAGGACGCAGACACAAATAATGTAATGTTGCAAACTGCAGCCACTGAATAGCTTGTCGATTCTTTTTTCTTTCTTTGACTTTTCGTAATGTGACGAGTCAAAAGCGGGAAAAATGTGCGCGCAGACTTTGGGCCAGTGGGACAGATGTGCATCGCACTCCTGTGGCTGTCGGTCAGGACCTGGTGCGGTGCCAAGTTGCTGTTTTTGTGTGCCACGTGCATCACGCCCATGTAGCCTGTATTTGTGTGTGCCAGGTGGGTTTGTGCCTACCCTCCAATAAAATCCTCCAGGCGACCCTGTCCTGAGTTAGTCTGAGCTTTTAGCTGAGATCCGGCGTGAGGAAAGTGTCAGGCAGGGCGTGTCCTTTTCAAAAGGAGCCTGTAGATGTTGGAGCGTAATAATCCAGACTTTTATGTCGGGAGAGAGTGATAAGACCAAGATTAGACGTCTTGTCATTTCTGTATGAAAATCTGGGAATTTTTAGATTTTTAATTGCTCAGTTTTCAATCTTTTCCTTCAAATACAGCTTGTAGCTGTTTCACAGGAAGATTTAGGGATAGAAAAATAGTAATATTTAAGTTACATTTCCCTCTTTTATGACGTTATGATCAAAAGTTTAAATTGTTACATAAGTATATATTTTTTATTTTACGTATTGTGTGTGTATATATCATTAATTTTTTTATTTATAAACAAATTAACTTCTGGGGGGTTGAATATATATATATAAACAGAATAAAGTTTAACTCCAGAGGTAAATGGAGCCTCTTCAGCTGATCATCCATCACAGCTCTTTTTGTGACAAATTAAGTCATTCTGATTCACAATGAAAAGTAAAATAAACCTTAAACCTACATCATTATGGAACACCTCATGCACCTGGGACTGCTCCCTCTCTGTAGCAGACAAACTGTCTTCATCATCCTCTGATGAAACATATTAAACCGAGTTTACTGCAGTTTATTGTAAATGGAGGTCAGACTTAATCACATACAAGCACTAAATCCTGAACATCACATAGCGGTAAGTTGACTCAGAGCATCTGTTAAGCCAGGGTTTGTTAAGCCTGCTTTATGAAACGTGGGCCCTGTTGTTGAAAACCAGGAAACACAAATATACAAAGAGAGCAGTTCATTAAATGCATTAATTATGCATGCATGTTTGAATGAAATCAAATAAGTATTTATGAGCTGAATTTTAGGAGTCATTTGTTAGTTTACTATAAGGTGACCTTTGGCATTTTCAGTCATGTGTGACAATTTTACAGCAGTCTGTGTGGTAAAATAAGCCGGGTATGCGAAAGTGCAGGAGATAATCAGCTCATTCACAGTAATTAATTTAATACACACACAAACCAAACAAAACGAATGAAAGGGGAAAAACATTAAGTCGGTGTTTTGTTGTCATATTTGTAGCATTTTTAGCGTTTTGCTAAAGCTGCTGCAGAGGCTTACCCTGACGTAGGGCCGATGAAGATATGATTTAAACTCGCAGCCAAAATAAAACAGTAAGACATAACGTCGATATTTAACTCACCTTACAAATGTGATAATTACTGTCCAATCTTCCACGTCAAGACGATAACACGGACAGAAATAAACCAGAAAGACCAAACTGTGAAAATGTGATAGCCGCAGATGCTAGTTAACTAGCTAGCTGCAAGGTCATGTGCTTGATTTCCGGATCATCTACGGTGCGGGAGAAGGCTCAAACTTCTTCAAAGCGATTTAAAAAAAAATCCTAATTTAAAGTATTATTTGCCGCGCGTTTGCGCCTGTTGGTCACCGTAATTCATTTCTGATATGAATTACTTTTGTAATTTTTTTTGTTTCATTTGATCCTTTTTAATAAAAACGTTTATTATTGTGCAAGTTCTTAAATGAAACTTATCTCTAAACTTCTGACGTAATTTTCAAACAGGTAAGTGCTGAGGTTGGCATGATCACATGACGATGAATTGCGCATGTTATGTAACCTAAACGGAAATTAAAACAAGCAAAGAGCAAACAAAACAACAGTAGGCCTATCGGTCCCCGCCTTCAGATCCAGGACTCCTCCCTCTGAACGCAAGGCTTTTAATCAGCCGGTTCTCTGAGGTTCCTCACCTGTCCAGGTATTAGGTTTCTGTCAGACTGAAGCTCAAACAGTCCTCACGATGTTTTCCGCAGCTACCTGGACTTTGTTGGCTCTCTTTTTCACCTTGTTGTTGCTGTGAGTGATCTGCGCCGTGTTTACTTTCGTTTGTTGCCTTTTTGTTTCCACAATGATCTCACTCCTGTTTTTTATTTTCAACACAGGTATGGAATCTGGCCATATAGGTTTTTTAAAAACCTTGGCATATCCGGACCAAGACCTCTGCCTTTTATAGGAACAATGCTGGGCATAAGGAAGGTAATAAAAAGCTGATAACAAATGATTTATAACTTAATAATAATAAGTCAGGGGAAATGAACAGTGTCTTACCTTTAAAAGCACCTTTCTGTCCCTTCATAGGGAGTCTTTGCCTTGGATCGTGAGTGTCAGGCCAAGTATGGGGATGTGTGGGGGTGAGTTACATCAGAACTTGTGAAGTGCAGCTTTATAAACAGTTTGAGCTCTACATATATAAATGATCACTAAACTTAATTTACTACTGAAGTACAAGGCTGGCTTTAAATATAATACATTTTGAGATTACTATTTCATCATCATGAAACTAATCCCATGATGTCTCTTTTCAAAACTCTTTCTTTCTTTCGACTTTTTCTCCTTTTTTGTAATTTTTCGTACAGGAGACCCTGTTTGTCACAATACAATGTGTAAAAAAAAAACATGTTAGAATTATAAAACATGTGTTGATTAAAAATGCTTTTATAAAACGTATGTGTGCTCAGCTGTTCACCTGATTGTTTTTGTTATTTTTCAGTTTGTTTGAGGGACGAAGCCCGATGTTGATGATTGCAGACCCCGAGCTCATTAAAACTGTCTTGGTGAAGGAGTGCTACAGCGTGTTTACGAACCGCAGGGTAAGATGCATAGGACGAAAACAAATTTAAGTTTGTGTACGTTTTAGAAAAACATTTCAGCTCGGCAGTCTTGACCTTCAGTAATGTCACTCCAGCAGGTTTCTTCGCAGATTACATCCTTTAGCATGATGCAATCTTGGGAAATCTCAAGTTTCACAATCAGAACAAAACCTGGAAGTGTTCGACAGATAATAGGTTTAGTGAAGGCAGATTTTACTGTAAACTGACCCTGCTGAATTGTGGCAGCTGAGCTCCATTCATACCTCCCTGATATAGTTTCAAAGTTATTCTCGCTCAATAGGCTAAAATATAATAACAGTCTGGCTACAAGAAGAACATTAAAATTGTCAAGCCAATTTTTTTTTCTGCAGAAAATTATATTACACATAATACAGTATGTATAACATAACTTTCTGCAGGAAAAAATGTACTCATAATATGTGTTCTTTTACATGTAAAAGCTAAAGTGTGTTTCACTCCTCTTGGTAGTTTTTCTGTTTTGTTACGACATGAAATGTATTGGGTGAAAAAACAAAAATAAAAATAAAAACTTCCAACATAATCTAAGCATTTGCTGTTGTTCGCAGAATCTTTTTGGATCGGGCGGGCCTTTGGACGATTCCATTACAGCAGTTAAAGATGAAAGGTGGAAACGAATTCGCAGCTCCGTATCGCCATGCTTCACCAGTGGGAGACTCAAACAGGTTGATACGTCATGTCTGCTTATAATTCTGTTTTAAGGAATTGAAATTCACAGTCATTGTCCATAAATATACAAAGTGTAACACTCAACCATCTAGCTATTATCTTTGCCTGTTTTTTATTTTTTATTTTTTTTTTTGGGTCATGGGTTGCTGGTGCCCTCGTTCATCACAGGTCCACATAGAGACAAATTACCATTCATTCAGTCTTGCTCACAAAAAGTAACATTTTAGGGGTTACCAATTTGTAGCTTTGTTCATTTGCAGAACCTAATTTTTCTGGGTCACAGGTGTAATGAATATAAACAAAAAGCTTTAGCTGGAAATGCCATTGGAATTGAGCAAATTTAACAAACTAAAAAAACATATATTGCTTAAAGATATTTATAAAAAAAAAACACAAATCAGTTTAGCAAATGCATTGGGTCTGTATACTGGCATAAATTTACCAGTTCAATTTGTATGGGCTACAATGGCATTTCCATAGCAACTTCAGTGCTTATATCTCCAATAATATAAGCGTGGCTGCTTTGTGCGTGAACATTTTTAACTATGGCATTTGTCAGTATTTGTATCTTCAAAAAGGTCTATTAGCCTAGCATGCATATTTTTGGTCTGTGGGAGGAAACTAGAGTACCTGTAGAAAGTCCGTGCATGTACATGGAGAACATGTAAACAGCTGTCATAATAAATTAGCCGTGCCTCCGTGTGTAAACACACGGCAGGAGTTATTGCTGCCGGTAGGAACAAACATTCTGCCTACATCACAGCTGCTCTTCCTCGTCTCTTTCTCGAAGGTTTTCCCCTTAATTTCTCGCTTCGCGGACCGACTTGTGGAAAAACTCGGCAAAATGAATTTGGATGAATCCGTAGAAGTCAAACAGTAGGTTTATTATTGTGTATTTCATTCATCTGTGATTTATTTATTTATTTTATCTTAAAACAAACAATGTTGAAGCCTGCTTTTTTAAAAAAACAATTTTTTCCAGATTTGTGGCACCATTCAGTTTGGATGCGGTGACCAGTGCTTCTTTCAGCGTGGAGATAGACTCCATAAATAACGCCGATGACCCTGTTAATGCTCACGTGCAGAAGATAATGAAGATCAACTTTTGGCCTTTTTTGTTACTGTGTATGTTCTTGTTCAGACTGAATATCTTTGCCAAAGGATGTAAATTTATTTTAAAAACTATATTTATGTTTTGTTTTTTTCTCTTTATAAATTTTAGTGGTATTTCCTTTCGGTGATCGTCTGCTGAAGCTCCTCAAATTTGAAATGCTTCCAAGACCCAGTGTGGACTTTTTCTACAACATCATCAAGAATTTTAAAGACCAGCACCAGACAGAGGAATCAGTAAGCATTTATATGAACTTCTAACCTTTAGTTTGAAGTGATTCCAGCCGTGAGCCCGTCTAACCTTCAGCACAGAAAAAAAGTCTCTTTCACATCCTGTAATCTGGAAAAAAAAAATCTGCAGATCTGCATGTTACAGTTAAATAACACCTATTGTTGAACCTTCCTCTTTTATTTCAATCTCATACGTGGTTAATGTTTGTGTAAATGCTGATTGTTGTCTGCGGTTATCCAGACTCGAGGAGACTTCCTGCAGGTGCTGATCCAGCACGAGATCCCAGACGATGACGTAAAGAACGAACAAGAGCAACCGAGTAAAGGTATGCAGGCGCCACGTGATCGCAGATTTAGCACAGACTTGTTCTCACTGATCGGTTTGCAACATCGTTTTGTGTTAGATGATTTTTTTTCTTTAAAACTAGCAAGATTTTACTTCTTTGTTAAACAATAAGCAAACTAAAAATGGATAATTTTACACAGAGTTGTTCGTATGTGTTGTGAAAATCTTTGTTGGGACGATAACTAAAAATGCAAAGCAGTGGCGCCACCAAGTGGGGACCAGGGGGTGCTAAGGCCACCTCTAGCTTCAGTGGCTATTGAGGGTTTAGGATATTGAGTACTTCTGCAAAATGTAGCTCCACAGATAACCACCGAAGATGTTGTTTCAAAGGTAAATGGATATATGTGAATGTTGAAACTAAATCCTTAGAGCAAAGCAAGTACTCGTATTTGTACAAAATACCCCGACACTAAAAATGTGAAACATGTTTGGTGAAATCAAAACATGTCAAATCTGGTAGCTTTTAGGTTCGCTATTGCATCATGTTGACTAAATTGACATTACTTAACAAGAGTTCAGTTTTTCAATAAACCGTGTTGTGAGCACCAGTGTGATGATTTTGTGGTTCTTGTGTTTTAGGTCTGACTGAACATGAGATCCTGTCCCAGGCCTTGATATTCATCTTTGCTGGCTACGAGACGACCAGCGTGACCCTGTCTTTGATCTTCTACTGTCTGGCCACGCACCCTGATGTGATGCAGAATTTACAGAAAGAGATTGACGATAGCCTGCAGAAAGATGTACATTAACTCTTCCCCAGTTGTCATTATTTATGATCCAATAGGATTTTGGTCTCTTTTGTTGACCTCCCACTTTTTTTATCTTTCATCTAGTCCATTTCCTACAACGACCTGTATAATCTGCAGTACCTGGACCAGGTCATTCTTGAGTCGATGCGTTGGATTTCCACCGCACCTCGGCTTGAGAGGATTTGCAAAAAGACTGTGCAGATAAATGGGATCACCATCCCCGAGGGAACATTAGTGGGGATTCCAGTGCATTTGTTACACAAGGACCCCCGCTTCTGGAGCTCACCTGAACTTTTCAAACCAGAGAGGTAAACGCAAGATTATTTTTTTTACTGGTGTCTGAGAAAGAGAACGCTTTTCTGACAAGATGGTTTGAATCGTTTTCTGACACCTTAATCTGGTTCATGCAGGTTCAGTAAAGACAACGAGGTGGAACTGAACCCGTACGCCTACATGCCGTTCGGCCTCGGCCCCCGGAACTGCGTTGGGATGCGCTACGCGATCCTCGTCATGAAGATGGTCATCGTGCGCCTCCTGCAGAGTTACACTTTGGAAACCTGCAAAGACACTTTGGTAAGACAGACTCTGACTCGCTGAAGTCAGTCGCACTCCGCTCACCGATTCACTTCTATCCTTTTATCTCGTCTTCAGATTCCGCTGGAGTTTAACTGGAAATTTCAGCCGACCAAGCCTATCAAACTGAAGTTTGTCCCAAGAAACTCATAATCTAAGATTACAGTCTCCAACCTGAATCAAACTGATTTCTATCAAATTATTTGCTGTTAAAACCTCTTTCTTTCTTTGAATATTAACCAGTTTAAACAATGTTGGATGTCTTGCAATTGATTCTTTACTCTGACTTTCCAGTTTGCTTATCTGTGAGGGTATATCATCTTTTGATTAAATCTAAAGCAAACTCCAAACAAGATGTTAAATGGAAATCCAGTTAGCGCAGATTAACACTCTTGTTTGCAGTGCAGCGGTATACTTTAATCTGTGCAGAAAGCAAACTCCAGAAAAACACCTGAAGATCATTTTAAAGCTGTTTTTTTTTTTTTTTTTTTTAGCCTGGAGCCGGTTCCACAGTAAAGCAGGATTTAGGTTGACAATTTAGGTGATCATAACCCTGAGTTCGAAACAGTTCCTCTTTTTACCAAAGAATGACTTCATTTTATGTACTTCAACTTCAGATGTTCTGCTAAAGATCTAGTTTGTCTATATTTACCTGAATGATTGAGAGTTTAATGATGTTGGGAATCATTTGACACATTTTAGGTGAATGTGTTTAGGTGGTGTTCAATAAAAATATTTTTTTATTCTGTAAAAATAAAACATTTTTGTATTTCTTAACAGTATTCAGATGTGACTACACACCTTTGCTGCTCATTTCTGCTTCCATTCAGTTGCTGAAACTAAATGTACCAAAACCCATCCTAAGTTATTCAAGCTATCAAAACATATATTTCCATGTTTAATTGAATCATATACTAAGAAGATGCACTAAGTGATATCTCAGAAAGTTTACTGTAAAACAGATGAAGCCATTATTTCTGGGAGGATTTGAACGGCTGAGGTTTTTCTTATGTTCACTCAAATTGCTTGTAAATTCACACCAATAATAAATTTATTGTGGTAAGGCAGATATTTCTCAAAAACAAAAAGGAATAATAATGAAGCTGAAGTTATCTTTGGTTCTTGAAAAAAAAATATGGTTATTAATAGTTTTTCCTTTTGAAATTAGTTTTGACCTGCTAAATAAAATGTTATAAAATGGAAAAAGTCCCCAAAGCAAAAGGAGCTTTCAGGGAACCTCAGTAACAGTACAACAAAGATCCAGCAGAGGGCGTCACAGGAGTACTTTTGTGTTTACATTTGACAGCAAAAATGATTACAAACGTTCACTCTCAGCCCGATGCTGGTTTCAGGAGAAATGTCTTTGATTTCTGTAATACTGTTTATGTTTATATGTTACAAACACAAAAATAGTCTTAGAAAATAATTTAATTACCTGTGGGTGCCATAACAACAAAACATGTTTACAAAATTTATAACTTGAGACATAAAAAATAAATAAAAATCCAGTCTCTTAAAACTGAAATCAATTTCAAACCGTGCTACATTTATTGGGAGGGATGGGTATTTATGCACGTAATGTAAAGACATCTAGTCCGGTCCATAGCTTGTTTGTAATAAACCGTTTAAATACACTCACGTATTTATAAAGGACTATAAGATTCTAAACAAGAACTTTTTTGTTTTGAAATCAAATAATGTGTATAAAACAGTGTTTGAAAGCTCTACAAAACAACCACTGCATCAGAAAGAGCAACAACATAAACTATGGGATAATAAAAAGTTTAAAGGATTATACTAACGAGCCTTTCAGAGTCCTGAGTTTATTACAAAATAAACTAAACAGACAAAAAGGCAAAAAGTCTTTATACTGTAGAAATACAATAAGGGTTTTAAAAACCAGAAAAGATTTGTCAGCTTTGACTGTCCGTATTCTTTCATTAGAAAAACATTTTTGTTTTTTTTAAAACACGTTGACGGCTCTCGGTTTTTGAGAACACATTCTGCAGCATGATCGGAGTTTCGAAAGAAAAGTAGCATCTTTCCCTGTATAAAAACTGTAAAATAACATTTACAAGTACAGACTTGTCTATAAATGATGTCAGGTTTTCCTGCATGAAATGAACAAACAGTAAAATATTGCAAAACACGTCAACACAAGAGTTTTTGATGGATCATTCCTGACCGGGAAACTAAAGATTGATGCAGGCTGATCTCAGGTCAGTTAAAAGGAGCTTTTAATGTAGGTTTACTTTACAAAATAAATAAAAACAAAAATAAAAAAATAACTAGAGAGAGCCGTCCACTAAAACTACTCTTTAACAGGTTGTATAAGTACCTGGCTCAAAGGCACCATGGCAGCTGCTACTGAGATAAAGTGTCTATCCTCTAAACCACTGCCTGCACTAGAACCTCAACCTTAAATTCATCTTATTGATCATTAACAGTTGCTTCATATTGTTTAATAAATTCATCTGTTGAACTGGAAATATGCTTCCACCTCGTCACTTTGGTAACATGATATTTGGTTATTCCAAAATGGAGGATGAATCTGCTTTCTACGATGTCTGTCTGGTGACCAGTGGATAATTTTTGTTTCCTTGTGATGACGGCACAAGATAACTTTGTGTGTACGGAGTGATACAGACATTGTTGGAGTCAGATTTTGAATACATTGTTTTTGTTTTGAACTGTTCCACGGTATCATACTTATTATTATTTAGTGTGCATTAATATAAATGGTTCATCTTTCATTGTAGCCTATTTATGAGATGACAATGAATGCCTTAGGTATGTGTCGGGAAACTGATTTTTTTTTTTTTACTGTGTTCCTGAACGCAGCATAACTCCGACTCCTTGCGAAGCAAAGGCACGGTGTGAGAGAGGAGCCTGTTTTGAGTGTTAAGCTAAAAAAAAAAAAGAAAAGAAAAAGCTTTTTGGACAAATACAACTCCAGTCGTCACCTGTGTCTTAAAGCTGCAACACAGCCTGCAAGAAATTGACTGCGATAATTATCTTGTGGCTACAACATAATTTTTTTCTTATCCAATGTCACTGATCAGGCTCCATAGTTTCCCTTAAAGGGATCCCTAATTAGTTGTAACTTTAGACTGTGATGAACATTTATTTTAGCTGTAAAATAAAGACTATAAAAATACTGTAGTCTGTTTAGTTTTGTAAATTTTTAAAAATATATTTTAACACGGACCGAGACATTTTTATTTACACACAAAGCGTCCTGGGTAAACGATGACGTTGATAGGTTCTTGGTGTGAGCGAGCTATATCCACCCTGAAGGTTAATCTTGGACAATATCTGACGATCGACTCTTTTAAATGAAACCAGAGAGCGTTGACAGAGAGGAGAAGGTAGAAATGACTCAGCCTGTAACTGAAAATATGGATGGAGGACAACAGAGCTGCTTCATGGAAGAAGAACCTCAGCTTAGCCTGTTAGCCTTTGCGCTAGCGCTGATGCCACATTGCCTTATATGTATTAGCTCAGCACTAGTGCGACAAACAAGCTAAATTGAGGTCCTCCATCTATATTTTCAGTTGCAGACTGAGTCATTTTTGTGTTCCCCTCTCTGTCATGTGGATGGAGGACCTCAGTGATGAGAGGAGAATGTGTAGCGCTGAGCTAATACATGTATGTGGTGATAGCGTTGGGGCTAATGCTAAAGCTAACAGGCTAAGCTGAGGTTCTTCTTCCATGAAGCAGCTCTGTTGTCCTCCATCCATATTTTCAGTTACAGGCTGATTCATTTCTACCTTCTCCTCTCTGTCAACGCTCTCTGGTTTCATTTAAAAGAGTCAATCATCAGATATTGTCCAAGACTAACCTTCAGGGTGGATATAGCTCGCTAGCAGCCTCGCACCGATGACCTATCCACGTCATCATTTACCCAGAATGCTTTACATGTAAATAAAATGGCCCTGTCCATGTAATATATTTTTAAACTTTTAGTTTAAAAATGATAAAAACTGAACATCCTACAGTATTTTTCACAGTCTTTATTTTACAGTTAAACTATATGTTTATTATAATGTTACAACTAATCGGGGATCCCTTAAAAAAATGATTATTACTTAAAACTTAAGTCATCAACTGTGTCTCCTTGGATGACACTGGCTCAGTTTTATGTCTGATCTAAAATAGTCACACTGTGATTGACTAACGAAAAACTGAGATCCTGGTTAAGAAAGCTTAAGCTACTTTCAGGAATTTCAACAACAGTCCAGCATATTTTAAATGCAGCTGGCTGCGGAGGAAACATTTGAGCCAAATAAGATTTAATCAGTTCAGCGTTCAGTTCGCTGACATGTCTGAATACTTCAACTTCCTGCCTACAAGTGTCCCTACGAAACAAAAGCTGCCTTTCTTTTAAAGTAAATGTTGGTCTTCATTCTGTAAAAAGGCATGCAGGGTATAGCTGGCAGGTCCTGCAGTCTGCTGAGTTACAGCTAGTGTGTTTTCTCTCCCTCATTTTAATTAGCACCTTTCTGATGAAAGTTCCAGCTTTTCTTTCCAAACATTTCAACAATTAATGTGGAATGGTCACGTCAAACCCTTCAACGTGTCTTCATATTAACTGTGTTTTTTTTTTAACTGTAACGAGGTGGAAACCAACATTAACGCTGGTTAAATTAGCTTGTGGTTGGTAAACTCTTGTCAGGAAAAGACAAAAACAAGACATGACAGGATAAAATTCTAACTTTACAAGAGATTTTAGAGGTTTTTTTTCCAGATTCAAGAGTTCTTTTCATTTCTAAGGAACAACTCTCTGGCGGCTCTGAACCGGCGCAGAGATTTGGCCCGCTCCGACCAAATAACGCTTCAGAGCCCGACTCAACGGTCAGGCAGGACATTTGGCTGTAGCTGAACTCTTCGGCTGCTGCAGGTTCTCCGGTAAATAACCGTTCCTTTTAAAGTCCCAGGTACCCAAGCAGAACTAACCGCCTTCTACCGGCGGGGTTGGGGGCGATTATGTCTAGGCAAAGAGGAGGAGGGACTGGAGGACGACGAAGGTGAGCAGGGCGACATGGAAGCCAGGGAGGCCGTGGCCGCAGCGTCCTCCGCCTCCTCGAGCTCCCCGCCTCCAGCGTGGAGCTCCTGGCTCACGCTGGACTGTAAGGCAGCAGGCGTCAGCCACTCTTTGGGCAGGCAGCTCTGAAGGAACGGCACGCAGGAGCTGAAGTAGGCCAGGCGGTTGACCCAGCGGGGGATCTCCCTGCCACACAGGATCTTTAGAGAGAAAGAGAAAAAAAACAACAATAATTCAAAACATTTAGATTTATTAAAAAGATGGAGGAGTTTTTGGTCCTGACAAAGACGAGTGATTTCACTGATTCACTTGTGAAGAACTAATTATTACTCCTTATCTGTTAAAGGGAAGTCTGACTAGTTGCAACATTAGACATTATTTAAAATATATTTACTTTAACTGCAACATTTTACTAATGTTGCAAAGCATGCTGGATAAATGTGGACGTTTACTAAATGTATCCACCCTTAAGATTAAACTTGGACAATATCAGATGATCAGACCTTTTAAATAAAATCAGAGCGCGTTGGAGAACAACAGAGCAACTTCATGGAAGGAAAACCTCCGCTTAGCCTATTAGCATTCCCAATAGCGCCTGAGCTAATAAATATGGCGATATAGCCAATGCTATTAATGTATTAATTTACAGTTGAAGTAAATGTTTTACAAATAATGCCTAATGTTGCATCTAGTCATGAAGCTACATGAAGCCTCTGTGCTTACTAAGAGTTTACTGAGAACTACACAATTCCTTCTAATAATTGTGCAATATAGTTTGGTATTTCTGAATGAGTGGATGTGTGTGTTCAGATTAGTAACTTCCTTGGAGAAGAGTATTCTGTGTGATGTTTACAGCAACAACATACTGTTTCAGTGTATCATTGCTGTATGTGGGTTTGCCAGCTGGCTTTGCATGTCTGGGCTTGTATCAGTGTCCTAATTCCCATCTGAGTGCTAGATGCTAACTGTAAGACTTCCCGCTCATTAGTCACTGCAAGATAAGCTGATTGGAAGCCACACTAACACACACACACACACACACAAAACTAGTTCAAGCAATCTCGTGTAGAGTTAAAAAGACAAAATAAAGACAAGTCATGACATTAAGTTTGTATACAGACGCTGTGACGAAATGAGCCAGTGTGAGAG